ACTTGTGAAACAATAAAATCAACTATTGAAGTTTACAGAAAACCAAGGCGAATAGATATCGAATGGAGAAAATCAATTTATATTAGGACTTAATTCAAAAAAGTTTTCATTTCTTTATGAAGGAAAGAATATACTTTTTTGCCAAAATTGGCAAAGATGTTAAGAGCAAGAATTAATTAACTCTAATTTAAAAAGCATCATAATAAAATGCCAAATAGAAAGAATTACCCATTCCAATATCCACCACAGCAAGTCATTATGATTGTATTAGTTGAAAGTTGGTTTCGAATGATTTGTGGAAACTCCTGCAGCCTATTTATACCCTCAAAAAATGGCCAATTGTAAGTACACCGACGCAATTTCACATGAATTAAAGGAAATTGGTAATTTTCAATTGTCCGAGGAGAAAGTCCACAATAAAGTTCTAGTAAAAGTGCGCACCTTTCCAAAAAAGTGCCTTTTTTACTAATTTAAGTAACATTTCCATTCGAAACCAAAATTATGAAATTTCTTTGCTTATGCACTTGAATAACTAACAAATGTAACTCACTGCCAGCATTGTAAATAATGAACAATCATATCAATGCCAAACAGCACTTTCAATTTGTCTCCTGATATCATTTAACCAAATCTCACAATCCAACTGGTTCATGCTTCTTCTCCAGAGGTTAAAGAGCATAGAAAATTCTTTCAACAACTTTACCATACCCCACTTCATATGCACACTGCAAACCTAACTGCCCACTTTCCTCCCAATTCCTTCATCAAATGATTCCTCTTCAACTAAACACTCGATTCAGTTTAGCCCATGGTCTTCAAGCTGATTGGTTTAAGAGGGCAATAAGGAAATGTGATAACTTAATTTGACCTGACTTCGTAGGTAAATTTATTTGGAATTGAGGCCGTTTTAAGAGTAATAATCAACTCTAATTTTGGTAACCTCGGTGGCTTGATATTATAGTCATTTTTCGTTGACTATAAACAAATTGATTGTTTTAATTTTAAGTAAACATAAGGTCTTTCCACATTTACCAACTGGAATTTCATTCCTTATAGAAGCGAATAAATGTTCTTTTTTCATTGGCTCTTTCTGCACTGTAATTAGATCCTTAAGCACATTTTAAAGCTTAGATGTATAATAAAAGTCAATATTTCAATTGTATGGTTCAGAGGAAAATCGATAAGATAGGATTCAAGGTTGTTGATGGATGGGTGTGGGGGGGGGTGTTTCCAAAAACTGAACTCACATCGAGGGGTGCTAACCCAAAGATGCGAAGCCCTAGTTCCACTATCCCGTGTTTGGTTATGCTTTCTATAGGATTTTCGAGGATGATTATCTAATTCGAGACCTCTATTCTTACAGATAAAAAATGTCTCTTTATCGAATTCAGGGACACCGAGAACTGCTAAATGGTTAAGCATAAGATTGTTACTTGAACAATCATAATGATATAGTAGTCTAAGTTCCGCTCCAACACAAGTGATCACGTGATGAATGCGCAGAAGTACAATTTTTTCCCGCAACACGTGTTAGTGAGTTGGCTATATTGTATTCTCAGGCTATTAAATCAGACAATAATTTGAACTTTAAACATAACTAGCAGCTTAATACATGCGAAATGTAAGCAGGTGAAAGTAAAGTAAATAAATTCTTTAATATTTAAATTTCGATATTTGGACAATGGAAATATAGTTCAATTGGAAGAGGCGGTTATTGAGTAAATAGCATTTATATGGTAGGCATTGAAATTGCACGCCATAGGTTATTGAAATATAGAAAAAAATATATATATTTATTTATTTCAAATGGCAGGTAATATGACATTTATCATTAGCCCTTAAACTTTGACTACAGCTTTCCCCATGGGTGGGGGATACATATATAGCAGTTTATTAATGACAGCCCATGGGTGGGGGGTACATATATAGCAGTTAATTAATAGCAGATCATTAGCTGTCCACATATATAGCAGTTAATTAATAGCAATTCATTAGCTGTCTTTTTGCTTCCCAGTATCTCTGGCTTTCCGTCGTGTCTTTAGGGCTGGACATCGAATCAGGTGGGTCTTCTCCGGCTAGACACCGAATCAGGTGGGTCTTCTCCATTTCCTCCTTTGAACACCGAATCAGGTGGGTCTTCTCCATTTCCTCCTGTATACCAGTATCTTTGGCTTTCCGTACTTGTCTTTAGGGCTGGATATGGATCTCTGGCTTTCCGTCGTTGTCTTTAGGACTGGACACCGAATCAGGTGCGTCCTTGTCTTTAGAGCTGGACACCGAATCAGGTGGGTCTGCGTTGTCTTTAGAGCTGGACACCGAATCAGGTGGGTCATCACCATTTCCTCCGCTAGACACCGAATCAGGTGGGTCTTCTCCATTTCCTCCTTTGAACACCGAATCAGGTGGGTCTTCTCCATTTTCTCCTGTAGAGAATCAGATGGGTCTTCTCCATTTCCTCCTGTAGGTTTCACATCAGGTGGGTCTTCTCCATTTCCTCCTGTAGGTTACAGATCAGATGGGTCTTCTCCATTTCCTCATGTAGGTTACATATGGTGGGTCTTCTCCGTTTCCTCCTGTAGGTCACATAGACAGGTGGGACTTCTCCATTTCCTCCTGTAGGTTACATAGAGTATGTGGGTTGAGTGTATACTCTCAATCTGTGAAGGTGTTTTGATGGTTGAGTGTATACTCCCAATCTGTGAAGGTGTTTTATCAGGTAATCGTGTCCGGTACGTAGAACAAATATGAGAAAAATTGATTTTCTGCGTTCACATTTAACAGTGGCAAACGATTCAATACTCATAGGTGCACCGTCCAATACTGTTATGGACAACACGATGGGGCTTAGAATACGAATATCCCATGAACATTTCATTAGGAAATCTCCCAATTCAAGTGCTATTGATAATTTCCACAATCTGCACGAGAAGTTTACAAATTTGTGTTTTTTTTGTCAACGTATTGGGCAATATAGGAGTCCCTTACGCCTTACTCTCGAATTCCCAGCTATTCATTATTCCAATTTGAAGATGAATTGTGTGTTAGACAATTGACTCTAAAGTAATTTCACTTGTAACAATCTACCCATATGCCGTTGCTTCGGACGCGCGCTATTTCGTTCTTTGAACATATTAGTTTGCTACCCGCATCAATCAATTAATTAATCCTCTTCTAAAACAATTTTATCTGCACCCGTATCTTTGGTGCAATCGACATTTTGGGTTGCTCGGTTAACGAATTGGAGGCAACTATTTCTTAATGAGGGACTAATCTCAAGAGAAATTTATTTAGCTATTTATATTTATTTCAAATGGCAGGCGTTTTGTTAGTTAACATTAGCCATTTAGCTGAGTTTGGGCTTCACAGAGAGGAGGAACATCAAAGTGGGAAAATTCTTGAGATGGATTCACAGATGTTAAAGAGACAGTCACAAAGGTGGAGAAAAAGATAAGGTGGTCGAGTATGACATACAGTCAGAAGTCAACTGCCGTTTAATAGACTTGTTTGCCGTATGAGTATATGTTGCCCATGGTGCACCACGTAGAGGTAAGTCTATCGCCCACCCCTCTCAGGAGAAATTGAAATCTTCTCAATTAAACCCCCCCCCCACAGAGTGTAGTAGAATTATTGCTAGAACTGAATTGCCACGGTAACGGAATTACACATAGGGTTATTAGATGGTGCTGACTTTTTTGCTGTATGAGTATACGTTGCCCAGAGTGTGTCATGTGGAAGTAGGTCTACCGCGCACTTCTACGGATCGCCATGGGCTCAGCCGGGAAAAGGAGCTATTTGCAGAAATAATAAACATGAGAGCACCAGAATAACTGCCAAGATACTGTACATTTTATTAACTAATGAGATGAATGTGCCATTATTTTGATCAAAAGCGAACTCGAACAAGAATTCACTCGCAAAACGAGTTGGGGGGGGGGGGTAGTCGCAGATCAAAGTGTGCGGATTAACACATTAACTAATTAATCCTTTAATTAACGATTGCCCCAACCCACTGCTTCAGAATGTGTTAAGTTTTGTTAGAAGTGCTATTGGTATTGACTACTCGAGGTTATCTTAGGCTTGAGTAGATTAGTCTTAGGAATTTAGTATTTGCGCCACAACGGATAAATAAAATCAGCTAACGGACTTAGGAAAGCATTTTAACCCACTATTTCAAGGAATGCTTTTCAAAACTGACTAATTACCTGAGCGAAATTTCCTAATTTAAATTCAAATTCAAAATTTACACCAATAAAGCATTTAGTTCAGAGTAAATTTGGCCACATTTCAAAATTAGGAATCGAACGATATAACTAAATGAGAACATTTTGTGCAGGAAGGGAGTTGAGACGACGTCCCGTTGTACGATTTCACAAGAGGATAGAAAAACAAAATGTTCTCAAGTCGATTGCGAAAGTAGAAAGAGACAGCGCATATGAATTTCACAAGCCGACTTCTTTTCAACTAATGGAATTGCTTCCCCCAAAGGCTAAATTCATAGTAAAAGCGATTGGATTAGATGAGGATACCGACTATGAGGTGGTCAAGCAAACTCTGATTAAATTATGCAGACCGGAACCCAATCTTCCACGCCTGTCAACCTTTATGAGGAGAGAAGTTAAACCGGAAGATGATATTGAAGTTCTTGCAATGGAAATACAAGCAGCAGTTGAAAGTCTGCTGTCACATCCAATCACGGAAGAAATAATTGAATTTATTGCTATTGACGCTTACATCTATTCCTCCAATTCCCAATTAGCCCAATATCTGACTTCAAAGAAGCCCAACACCGTAAAGGAGGCTCTAAGACTAACACACAGGTTCAAGGAGAGGGTTGAAAATGATAACCTA